GAACTTAGTATAGTAAAGGTTTGATCCTTATTTTAAAACAAGACAACTTCATTCAGTTTAACAAAAAAGAACGGCTGTGACTTTATTACTATGATAATTCACAGCTGCTGAACTAAATTACGTGTTTCCAAACTGAAAATAGATTTTAAATCTTCAGCCTTCTGAAAATATTGCACTTGCCCCATAATTGCGCCTGTTTTTAGCTTCTTATTGTATTTTATTAGTTCATCTGTCATTAAGCCACCCTGATGCTACAGAGAAGAATGCAATATAAACAAATAAACAAACAAATGCAAAGTAAAGCTTCATATTTAAATAACGAGGCATGTACATGCATGTCAACATTATACTGTCTGATTTGAAATCAGACTTCTGTAAGATAGTCAGGTTTGATTTTAAAAAGATAAATACAAAACTCAAGCATAGGGCCTCTATATATTATCAAAGGGGACAAGGCAAAGATGTCCACTATGCCCAGTATTTTTCACTCCAGTCCTAGAAGTACTGTTTAGAGATAGGATGAGAGAATTATGGGAATAAAGATTTTAAAAGAAATGTACAAACTAAGAGAATTTGCTGATGATTTGATGTTAACTTTAGAAATCCCATTGCAGGGAGTAGGAACTTTTATGGACAAACTAAAATTTTAGAGTTTGGTACGTTTAGCAGGTTTTAAGGTTAACCATCAGAAAATGAAAATACTAACAAAGAATATGGCAGCATAAGACCAGAAGGTTTTGATGGAGAAAACAGGGTTTCAAATGGAAAAAAAGTTAAATATCTGGCTATTACTATGATAAATATGAACTGCACATTGTTTCAGACTAATTATATTAAAACATGGGCTGAAGTTTAATAATAATAATAATAATAATAATAATAATAATAATAATAATAATTATTATTATTATTATTATTATTATTATTATTTATACCCCGCCCTCCCCAGCCAAGGCCAGGCCCAGGGCAGCTAACAAGCAAGAATAAAAACAAGTTGAATGAATACAACTTAAAAACAAGATTAAAATACAACATTAAAATATTGAAACATTGAAATATTAGAATGCAGCCTCATCGCAGGAGGAGAAGGAAAAGAAAAAAGAAAGAGAGGGAGGGAGGGAATCAAACTGGCTCCAAGCCAAAGGCCAGGCGGAACAACTCTGCCTTACAGGCCCTGCGGAAAGAAATCAGATTCTGCAGGGCCCTGGTCTCATGAGGCAGAGCGTTCCACCAAGTTGGGGCCAGTGTTGAAAAGGCCCTGGTTCTGGTTGAAGCCAATCTAACTTCCTTAGGGCCTGGGACCACTAGGGTGTTGTTATTTATGGACCTTGAGGCTCTCCGTGGGGCATACCAGGAGAGGCGGTCCCGTAGGTATGAGGGTCCTAGGCCGTAAAGGGCTTTAAATGTCAAAACCAGCACCTTAAATCTGACCCTGTACTCCACCGGGAGCCAGTGCAGCTGGAAAAGCACTGGGTGAATATGCTCCCATGGCAGAGACCCCGTGAGGAGCCTCGCTGCAGCATTCTGCACCCGCTGGAGTTTCTGGGACAGCTTCAAGGGCAGCCCCGCGTAGAGCTTTAAAAAGATATATTAAGATGGGAGAAGTTAAAACTGTCATTGCGCGGTAGAATTTCAGTGATAAAAATGTTTTGCCTAGAATGATGTTTTTATTTCAAACAATACCTGTTGTGAATAATGACTTACCGTTTAAAGAATGGCAAAAACATTTATCTAAGTTTGTATGGAAAGGTAAAAAAATCACCGGTTAACTTAAAATGAAAATACTGCAAAATGCGAAGGAGAGGGGAGGACTGGGACTGCCTGATTTGAAATTGTACTTTGCAGCCTGCTTGGATGAAGGAATGGGTGACCTTGAGAAATAGAATTTTGGATTTAGAAGGTTACAATTTAAGGTTTGGATGGCATGGATATCTGTGGTATGACAAGATCAAAGTTAATGTGGAGTTTAAATATTTTTTTTAGACGTACTATATTGGGAGTCTGGAATAGAAATACACCTAGGTTATATACGAAGATACCTCTATGGATTTCAACGCAAAAAAGTGTTTCATAGAAAAGAGGCGACAGGTAAAGAGAAATGATTAACCTACCAGTAATTATTAGAGTGGAGTAAAGGAGACTGTAAAATTCAAACAAGGGAATAACTAACAAGAGAAGGCTACAGTCTCCAATGGTTTGCACATCGATAACCAGCTGATAGATTTAAGTGGGATAAAAAGACGTTTGGTATAGAACAAAAAAGACAAATTTTGAAATGCAGATATATACAGATGATGAACATGTTATTGCAAAAAATGTATAAATTATTGTTGAAATTGTAAATGCAAGAAGAACAAGTTAAAGAATATATGAATAAATAGGTGAGAAATTTTGGATATAATATACAGTGGATATAATATAATATATGTGAACTAAAGGGTTAAAATATAAGCTGTGTTATGACTTAAATGAATTTTTAAATTAAATGATGTACCACTGGTACTTAACTCCTGAGAAATTATTTAGAACGTACACAACTATTCTGTATATCTGTTAGAAATGTAAAGAACATGAAGGGATGTTTTTATTGTGCTTGGTGGACGTATAAAAAAGCCCAAAAATATTGGATACAAATACATGCACTGAAACGGAGAATTTTGAAAGTTAACCTTCAACTGAAACCAGAACCCTTCCTGCTGGAACTTACAGACATACAGTTACAAAAAAAAACTAAGGAACTTTGCTTCAATATATGATTACGACGGCAAGACTTTTATATGCACAAAGCCGGAAAGACTCATCATCACCAGCAATGGAAGAACGGTTGTTAAAATTAACAGAACTAAGCTGAGATGGCAGAAGTGACCTGTTTATTCAGAGAAAAGTTGTTGTTAAAGTTTGGAAACTTCTCATAGACTTTTTGTGTGAAAAAGAAAATGAAATAATGACATTTGGATTTGAGGATTGAAGATAGTTTGTTTAGAGAAAGTGGTTTTGTTGAGTTATATTGGAGTGAACAAAGTGATTATTGTTTTTATACGGTGGACAGAGGAAGAATTGGAAGTTCTATAATCTCTGAACTTTATCTTTTCCATTTCCTCATGAAAGCTCTTTTCTATCTATTTTTTTCTTATTTTTATACCTCTCTTTTCTTTCTTTTTTGCCATGTTTTTATCTTACTTCGATTAACACTGGACAAAAAAGACATTTGAGATTTGGTTTTGCATTTCTCTTTATCAACTCTAATACACACACACAGCACACACACACACACACACACACACACACACACACACACACAAATGTAATCAAATCACATTCAAGTGAGCAGAAAATAATAGGACAAATAGATCTGACCTCTGCCATTATTCACCTTACAGTGGAGAGATGGACAGTGAGACTAGTTGAGGCCACTGACTCAAGCAATGCTGATGGCGCTTTGCAGGTGCTGCTGCACAACACAGCGAATGATGGCCAGGGAGTGGGGCAGCGTGGGGCAGCGGCACATTCCTGTTTTGCCTCAAGAGGCTAACAGGGATGCAATGCCCCTGATCACAGAATCAGAGAGTTGGAAGGGACCCCTGAAGGATCGTCTAGTCCAACCCCCTGCAATGCAGGAATCAAAGCTAAAGCATCCATGACAGATGGCTGCCCAACCTCTGTTTAAAAACTTCCAAGTAAGGAGAGTCCAGCACCTTCCAAGGGAGTCTTTTTCACTGCTGAAGAGCTCTTACTGTCAGAAAGTTTTTCTGTATGTTTAGTCGGAATCACCTTTTTCGTAACTTAAAGCCATTGGCTTGAGTCCTACCCTCCAAAGCAGAAGAAAAGCTTGCTCCATCTTCCACATGACAGCCCTAAAGATATTTGAAGATAGCTATCATATCTCCTCTCACTCACCTCTTTTCCAAGTTAAAAAAAAAAAGGTAAAGGACCCCTGACAGTTAAGTCCAGTCACAGATGACTTTGGGGTTGCGGCGCTCATCTCGCTTTACAGGCCAAGGGAGCCAGTGTTTTTCCGGTTCATGTGGGCAGCATGACTAAGCCGCTTCTGGCGCAACGGAACACTGAAATCAGAGCAGCGCATGGAAATGCCGTTTACCTTCCCGCCAGAGTGTTACCTATTTATCTACTTGCACTTTTGATGTGCTTTCGAACTGCTGGGTTGGCACGAGCTGGGAATGAGCAACGGGAGCTCACCCCGTTGCAGGGATTCGAACCGCCGACCTTCTGATCGACAAGCCCAAGAGGCTCAGTGGTTTAGACCACTGCGCCACCCGCTATGTTTAGTATAAACCCATATGTTTAATTGGAATCTCCTTTCTCGTAACTTGAAGCCATTGGTTCGAGTCCTACCCTCCAAAGCAGAAGAAAAGCTTGCTCCATCTTTCACATGACAGCCCCTAAGATATTTGAAGGCAGCTATCATATCTCCTCTCACTCCCCTCTTTTCCAGGCTAAACACGCCCAATTCCCTCAAAGATTCCTCATAAGGCTTGGTTTCCAGACCCTTGGTCATCTTGGTCACCCTCCTCTGCACACATTCCAGCATGTCAACATCCTCCTTAAATTGTGGCGCCCAGAACTGGACACAGGATTCCAGGTGTGGTCTGACAAAGGCAGAACAGGGCGGTACTATTACTTCACTTGATTTGGACACCATGTTCTGTTGATGCAACCTGTTGATGCTCTAGGAAGGTGATATCTACAAACAGGCACTAGTTTCATCAGTGTTCTTTATGAGCTGCCCCATCAGTTGCTCATAAGATGCAGGCAGTTTGGGTGATTTCAAAACTTATAAAAAAAATTCCTTCCAGTAGCACCTTAAAGACCAACTAAGTTAGTTCTTGGTATGAGCTTTCGTGTGCATGCACACTTCTTCAGATACAAGTGTGCATGCACACGAAAGCTCATACCAAGAACTAACTTAGTTGGTCTTTAAGGTGCTACTGGAAGGAATTTGTTTTGTTTTGACTATGGCAGACCAACACGGCTACCTATCTGTAATTCAAAACTTATGTAACAGCCAAGCCTTCCTCTACTTATGAGATCAAGATATTTGCATAGGCTCTTGGACCACGTGGGTTCCCGCAGGTGATCCCACTTTCAGGTACTTGCTGTGGAGCTTAACTGTGGGCTGAAAGCAGCTCTGATTGTGGGGGGGGGAGTGCATGGTTTGTGGCATGTTGTATTACTCCTTCATTTGTAGCCAAGGAGTTAAAATCCTCAGTTATTCTGAAAAAACATAGGCAGACAAGGCCATACACAGCTTGAACGACCAAGGAGGACGTGTGATCATTTCTCTCCTGTCCAAAACAAAATCTGACTTTATCTTTTTACTGTGCTGTTGACAACAAAAAAGCCAGCTTTTGGTTTAGTTCACATCTAAGCACACAAAATCCCAAGAGCTTTGTAGAACATTTATTCAGCTGGCTGGGGTAAAAAACAAAAACAAAAAACCTGTGCTAAATTTATTGTAGAAGTTTTTTTTTTCATGTGTAAAAGTCACACAGAAATCACAAACTGTGATGTTAATAACTTTGCTTGTGCAAAAGGCAACCAATTAATTTGGAACGTCGCTCTCTCTCTCTCTCTCTCTCTCTCTCTCTCTCTCTCTCCCTGTATAAGCAGGACTATGAACTTGCTGATAGGCTCCCTCCACCCACCAAGCAAACTGGTAATGTTTGAGGACATTCCATAATAGCACCAACTGCCATGTGGCTACTTGCACACAGTGGTAAGGCTTCATCAGTTTTTAATGGCTCTTAAATCCATCACCTTTTAAATAAAGGATAATGCTTTTGGGATAATACATGTGCATGGGTAATATTCTTAATTTAAATATCACTTAGTGCAATCACAGTTCTGAGTTTATCATTGTTTTGGATGACTTGTAAAAAATGGTATTAATGCCTCTGGCTACTGCTTGAAAGAAAACAATGTCAAAAGCTGATTTATGCCTTTGGTCAAATGCTTGCTTTGAGTTTCATCCATCTGTTAGAATACACAAATTTACAGAAGATTAATTGGTTCAAAGAAGGTACATCTTGTTAAAGGGTCTTTCCTTGTCTAACTGCCTGTCTAGCTGTCAAACAGATCATTGCCCTGATTAAAGCTGCTCAAGGAAGGGAATATTAACCAGATGAATGATTAATAAATGTATGACCATACAAATTAGAAATATCACTTTAGATGATGCCACATTTTGATGACATGGCAAATTAATGATCTGTGATAAGGATATTTTCACTTGGCTTCCAGATCATATTTTTCTGGCATTTTTTAAGATTTCAGTTATCCTTAGGTAAAGTGCAGCAACAGTTGTTCAGGAAAGTTTCTGGCTTACTATAAACACCTGAGATGTTGTTGTTGTTAATAACTGAATTTATATACCACCCTATACCTGGAGGTCTCAGGGCAGTTCACAGAATAAAATCAAAATATAAAACCACAAAATACATAATCAAAATAAAAGCAACAACCCAATAACCCCCACCCCCAGAAAACACATTTTAAAAGGGCATAGGATCCTCACAACATTTAAAGTAAGACTGTTAACAAACATGAACACGAGCCACTTGTTGGAAATACCATGATCTCAGAAATGTTTGCAGCAATATTTATTGGCAACGCCATTGGCCAGGTGCGTTTCTGATACAAAGACAAAAATAGCTTTGAAATAAGAGTGGGAAGGGAAAAGTTGCCCAGAGTTGTTGAGCAATAATAACTATAGTAATTTCTAAAGTGTCTCCTTTGGCAGAGATGCGGCTCCTGTCCTCAGGCTGACCTAAAAAGACAAAGCTACAGAAGGGAATACCGTACGTAGAGGACGGGCATCCTATTGGCAGCACCAGAAGTAGTGAGTTGTGCAAGGATTCAAATCTAGTTGGGGCCAGGCTGATCTTCCCCTGCTGGGGTTAATGCTAGGATGGAAGTAGTACAACTACCCCCCCCATTTAATACATTATTACTGGATTATACAGGGGACGCGGGTGGCGCTGTTGTCTAAACCACAGAGCCTAGGGCTTGCCAATCAGAAGATCGGCAGTTCGAATCCCTGCGACGGGGTGAGCTCCCGTTGTTCGGTCCCTGCTCCTGCCAACCTAGCAGTTCAAAAGCACCTCAAAGTGCAAGTAGATAAATAGGTACCACTCCGGTGGGAAGGTAAACAGAGTTTCTGTGCATTGCTCTGGTTTCACCATAAATGGCTTAGTCATGCTGGCCACATGACCTAGAAGCTGTCTGCAGACAAATGCCGGCTCCCTCGGCCAGTAAAGGGAGATGAGCGCAGAACCCCAGAGTTGTCCGCGACTGGACCTAATGGTCAGGGGTACCTTTACCTTTACCTTACTGGATTATGCAGGTGTGACCTAGCCACTCAGCCACAGAGACAGAAAAAGACTAGGATGGTCACTCGTGGTTTAAAACTGAGCTGCTTCCCCATTCTAACTTCCAATGCAATAAGTATATGGGTATTACTAAAGAAATGACAAACATTAGAGTGATACCACCCTAGACAGTTATGACCAATGGTTTCCCAGCTTTTACCAAAAGTTCAGGCTGTGTGTAGGTTTAGAGTTTTCCTGTCTCTCTTGCCACAGCTCTGACTTCCCTCATTCTCTGTCAAAGTCATCTGGCAACAGTCACTCAAATCTTAGTAACATGCTATGAGCCGGTTTTCCCTATTAAGTAAAATAAAGTCATTATCAGTTGCTTTCTCTGGGTTAGGGTACTAGAAGTACTGGGAGTGAAGATTTGCCTTAACACTAAGATGTAATTCAACATGCATGAGGCGACATCAGCATATCCCCAGGAACTATTTTGTGAGCCAAGCGCAGGTGCCAATCACTCACGAAATGAAACCTGGCCATTTCAGAATTATGACATGAATTAGGCACTTGCTTCCTCAGCATATTTTATTTACGTGCAAATATTTCTATATTCAAGAACAAAGTTCATGGTGGTGAACAACATAAAATCAACAATAAAATTGCATTCATAAAACAAAGAGAAAATACAACATAGATTGCTCAATTGGGTTATTATATCAACAAGCTGGATCAGTGGCGTGGTGTGGGGGGTGCAGGGGGGCCGGCCGCACTGGGCGCAACATCTGGGGGTTAGGGTTAGGGGGCGCAAATCCACGGGTTAGGGGGCACAAATTACTTGCCTTGCCCCAGGTGCTGACAACCCATGCTACACCACTGAGCTGGATTACCCCCAGTGAAAGTCTGGGTCAACAGATGAGTTTTAAGAAGGCTTTCTTCTTCTTTGGTGATCACTCGTAGCCGAGTAAGATTGTCTTTTAACAATGGTCCGTAAGTGACTGTGGAGGCCAGGTATGGATCCACACATCCTTCCACAGTGGGGACATTGGTTTCCGGGCAGGAGTTGATCATGGTGAGGGTTTGCCAAGCGTGCCTTCCTCTTAGCACGTTTCTCCCTTGCGTCCTGAGTTCGAGTGTCTTCAAAGCCCATGAAGGCACCTAAATGCCAAAACTATAGGCAACTTCCTGATGTTAACATTTGGAAGTGCTTTCCAAATGGCATGTGCTGCTACACTAACCCCGGGAGCCCCCAGCACTCTGAAGACGGTCTCTCCTGAGGATTGAAGTGACTGCACAGGAGTATACAAGATAAGGCAGGGTTGCCAAACCAGCTCCCGTGGGTGCCATAGCATCCGCTAAGGCTGCCTTTGGTACACCCAGGGTGAACCGCCACCCTCAGGTTCCTAGCTGTCATTTTAAAAAAGCAACTTTCTAGCACTTCTAGGACCTGTGATATGAGGCAACATGTATAGACACAATTTTTCTCAATTTTTGCGAGAAATTAGCCTGTTTAATCCTATCAGTGTTTTACTTTACCAGACGCGCCAGGTTGCCCCCGGCGCACATCACGTGTGTGTGACATCACACACGTGTTGTGCATTGCACACATGTGATGTTAGGCATATTGTGCATGTTGTTGCATTGTCTAAAGGAGTGCTCTGCACCATGCACTGTGCGCCGGGCCCCCTCGATATTGAGGGGGCCTGGCCCCATTCCAGCAAATATTCAGGGGGGCAAAGACACCTGTCTGCAACAGTGAAGGCCCCTAAGAAGGCCCCCTTCCCACTCCCATAATGATTTCTAAGAAACAGTCAGAATGTGAGAGATCAGGCAGTTACTAAAATTTGTTCTAACTCCGATTCATAAAACCAGAACCTTGATTCCTAATTCCTCTAGTTCCACACTAATGTGTGCAACTGGCAGCTCCAAAGAATTCACAGCAACTTCTAGAAGATGAAAAAGAGACTCTCTTTCAGTAACGCTGATTATTTACACAACAGCTTGGAAGTAAAGCTGACCGGACTGCAGATTTGATGATGCTATGCTCCGAAGCAGCCAGAAGGTGTCTAGGTCTCTCTTGTGCGTAAGATGCAGGAGCCTTTAAAACAGTGAATGCAGGACCTGCAGCAATACATTTTGTGGTGAGTAGAAAGTATGTTGGAGGAGGAGGGGAATCCCAGACGAAAAGTCAGGTTTGCTGCATTTTAACATCATATATATAGGATGTTACTATATATATAATATATACATATATATATATATCCCCTAGTGCAATGGTTCTCTGGGCCAATTTTTGTGTGTGATAAGAAACACATTGGAAATCAAGAAGAAACCACTCATAGCAGTGCTTGATTTATAACACAGAACACAACTACTTTATAATATGATCATGGGACATCCAGAAAGTATAAAACCTAAGAACATGAATCATTCCCAAAATGTAATGATGAATGAGCCTCTTGCATATGTATGAATAAAAACTCAATGAGGGGTATGAGCTTGCTTTTGCCTGATAATCTCATATTAGGTCTAATTTGACACAAAGAAACTCTCATCTCCTCATCTACATAAATACCGTAAGCTTTTCTCTTTTCTGATCTTTCATATTTGTCAGAGTTGAAAATTCCTGTTCACAACGATATATTGCAGATAATTTTAGAAGAATAGCCAGTGCTCTTGAAGAGAGGTGTGGATACAGTTTCTGGCTGTAGATCCCATTCTTTTTGTATATACTAATACTATACTATAACGCACTGAAATATTTAAATGCTTCGCTGATTCTCCTTGACTCTTCCTGATGCACTTGCTATCCTCTCCAGCCACACCTTTGCAGAACCACGGCCCAATGCTTGACAGTGAATCCCAATACATTTGTACTCATGGGCCAGAAGATCATACGGCATGAGCAGGATTTCATCTTACTGAGCAAATGGGTTGTTAACGAACAGAGACTCATTATGGTCCCAAGTAGATAGCCTTTATTTTACCTTTTACCTCATGGTTTAAATTCTGACTTTGTCATACCCTGAAACATCTCCGGTCCACTCTTGCTCCTTCTGCCTGTCAGCTGGGCTACTGGATGACTAGAGCAGCTTAGGAGGAGCTGTTAGTTACACCCATTGGCTGCTCCTTTCAATGGTTAGAAGAAGCAGTAGCTGCTGTACTTGCTTCAAATAGCACTTCTGCAAAGTGCCTTAAGAGGATCCCACAGGCTCACACAGGAGTACAGGGACTTTCTTTAAGCGCTTTGCAGAAACACTCTTTGAAGCAACCTCCTCCCAATCTTTAAACAATTGGGAAATGTTTAAAGGAGGAGGGAAGGCTGCTTCAAACATCAGTTTTGCAAAGTGGTTCAAGCAGCCTTCCACCCTGCTTTAAACATTGTTTGACTGATATTGAAGTGGAGGGTGGCACTACTTCAGAGAGGCTTCAGAGGCTCACATGGGAGGGTGTGGGCTTTTGCAAAGAGCAAAAGGGCCTTGAAGCCAAGAGTCTGAGAGGTGGGCAGCGTAATCTCCATGTCAATCATGTGGTGTCATGACAACCAATTCTCTTTGTTTAGGGAATTGTTTTGTCAAGAACAGAACCCTCCTACAGACCAAAGTGGTGCAGCCCCGACAAAGTGAGAACTAGGCCAGTCACTGCCATTTTGTTGCAATAGGGTTGCCCTGCTCCGCTTCCTTGAGAGCTGCCTCCAGGCTGAAGTCTTAGGAAAACATGGGAAAATGTTCATTTGCACAGAGGAAACAGTGAGAAATTTAAACATTTGCAAGCATGGAAACTCATGGAGGTGCTGAAAAGAAAGGTCACACTCCAGATGAGATCACTGTTTGACAGAGTCACTCTAGAAGGATGTTTCAGGAGGACTCGATTGCAAAGGCTACACATGACAGAACTCTGGGGGTTTCCTTTTCAACGTGATCAAAAGGTTGCTTGGCTTGGCAAGAGACTTGATACAGATGCTGTATCTGGTTGAAAATTGGCGCTTTGAATTTAGGAATCTGCAGGGTTCGGACTTACTATATAATGAATCTCTAATTTATTGCCCCTAAAGGTGTATGGCCCAGGCATGATGGGATGTTCTACAGGCTAGTCGCACAACAGCTGCTGCTCAGGCCATGTTCAAAAAAACAACAACCATGACACATATGAGTTATACAGGATGACTATGGGGAAAGGAAGGGGAGCCTGGAGCTCTAATTGCACAACTCTATTTTGACAAATTTAAAAATATGTAACATAAATTAACCTATGACCAGCCTGCTTGTTGGAAAACCAAGGATTGGGTGGCCTAGTGACTTACCCATAGGTATTATGGCTATTTTCCAACCTCTCTCTCTACCCTGGAAATAATCCATATGTATATCTGAAAAGAAATTGGAAAGTAATGCAGCGTCTTTTGAAGGTAGAGCTAAACTGATCCCCTTGTCTCAATTTAGAGTCAAAGTCAGTATTTAGAAGCTTTCTTGCTGAATGTATGGAAAACCCTTATCTGTCTCCCTCAGTTTGTGCACTGACGCACACATACACACTTATCCACTGGGGTGTCCATTACACTGCATTCAACGCACAGTACCATTCATGATGACTAACAGCTTGGAAATCCAGCTGTCTCTGCTTCAATGAACAGAAGAACAAGAAAGGGTTCTAGAGCTGGACATATGTGATATTTGCAAGAAATCTATCATTGACCTGAAATGTCAGCTATTTCCTCAGAAGATAAAGTGTCACCTAGTTTATACCTAGTTTACTAATAATGTCATCAAGAGTAAAGGTAAAGGGACCCCTGACCATTAGGTCCAGTCGTGAACGAATCTGGGGTTGCGGTGCTCATCTTGCTTTACTGGTCGAGGGAGCCAATGTTTTCCACAGACAGTTTTTCTGGGTCATGTGGCTAGCATGACTAAGCCACTTCTGGCGAATCAGAGCCGCGCATGGAAACGCCGTTTACCTTCCCGCTGTAGAACTGCTAGGTTGGCAAGAGCAGGGACTGAGCAACGGGAGCTCACCCCGTCATGGGGATTTGAACCGCCGACCTTCTGATCGGCAAGCGCCACCCACATCCCTTTCATCAAGAGTAGGAAGTTAAATTTAAAACACTTCTGCATTTGTCCCTATGAAGGAGCTGTGTGTATGTGGAACCTTCTAAGCAGGACATGAAAGAACTTCTGGGAGAAATTCTACTCACTTCATAATATAGTTGAGTATTATAAGGTGGGCAAATGTGTACCTTGAAGTCAGTAATCACAAAATTCTGCACCATCACTAATGCAAAATTTTGTTTCATCTGATTTTAATTTCAGATAACATTATTCGTCAGATTTTGTCCTTTAGTCCTCTGGCTCATAATGACTCCTCCTTATTTCTATAATCATGCTTTATAAAACGTAATATATAGTTTCATTGCTCTACTGCACAGTCTTACCTGACATTTCAAGTAGGCGTTTTGCAGCATTTGATAATACAAAACATATAGCCTGTAGAATACAGCTGCCATAAGCTCAAAAGCTATACAGAAAGCAGAACAGGAATGTGAATTAAATGTTTCTGCAATGCACATCATTTCCCCTTCTGGTTGTCTCATAGACCATATATGGGAATCTTCTACCGAACAAACCAGCAATAAAAACTCCACATTGAATAGAGACTTCTGCAGCAACCAAAGGACAATGCTTGTATAATTTAGGTGAGAGCTCTTATTTATTACTGTGAAATTATGGTGCACTTTAAAGTACTCCTTATGTGCAGAGAGCAGAGGAGATTCTTAAGCTATTAACATTTGATCTCCTGCTGTCATTAATCAGGTGCAGAATGTAATCTAAATAATGTGTTTGTACAGTGTTGTCGAAGGGATAGATTTGCAGCCAGGTTTTGAACTTACTAGACTTCACTTAGAGACAACTATTTTACTTTTGACAATATCCACTTCTGGTGGATGTTGCTTTGATTATTTTAATTTTATGATGGGATGAGGTAAAACTTAATTTTTAAACAATCCCACAAATACTTTCTCTGTTTAATCATTTCCCCGGTTTAGTCATTTTTGGAATTGAGATATTGCAGGTTAGGAATTGGTTTCCTGGAGTTCAAACGCTGAATAAACAAAAGATAGAGAGAGGAGGAGGAGGAGGAGGGAGGAGGAGTGGGGGAAGTGAAGGCGGAGGTGAGAGAAGAGCTTGTTTAATGTAAAATCTGTCATCTTTGTTTCAAGGGCTATTGCCATTGTTTGAAAATTTAATGTATGCAGGTTGGGAATGAAAAATTCTGTGCTTCTGTATGTCCATTAGGGGAATTTGAATTAGACTCATCCATTAAATCTTCATGAAGAGAATTACTAGTGAACAGATCTGTATTCATGGTGCGTACACTTTCCTGAAAAAACTAAACTTTTCATGTGTGTGTGAGTGAGAGAGAGTTTAAACTATTAGGTAAAAGGTACATTTCTGGCTTTGAACGATGTTGGTGCAATGCTTGGGTTCAGATGACATGACAATGACTCCCCTTTCTGAACTCTCAGTTACTCAAAAAACATCACTGGAAATCCAGAAACAAGCAATTATCAACCTGGCTTTGTACCAAAGAGATGGTGATCTTGGACACCAACCAGTTCCTTCCCAAGGGGCTTTTGTGAGGATGAGAAGGAGCTGCACTACATATCGACATCACGGTGTGGTGACCAACAGCATTATGGTGGGCTCAACAATTTTGGGGAAGGCTGTTGTGAAATATATATATATGAATAAGGAAGGCATCTTCATTGGCACCTTAGAAGCAGAATCTATTTTCATCTTGCACTTATGTTCATTGTTGAATACGGTTGCTCTGGAGATCAATGTATTGAAATGTATCTTATATCTGTATATAAAATCTGCATTTAATCCCTGGTTTGTCTGTATCATTCCTAGGCCTCTGAAGAGGCCTATATCTATATCTGAGTGCCTTCTGTGGTGGGCTGGTGAATATTGAAGTGTCTGGGACTGTAGTGAACCATATGTATCATATATTCATGTTCACAGTGCACACGGCTTCAGCTCACTTTTGCATTTTTCTCATACCAGTGCAGCAACTCGTCCTCTACCTGCTGAATATTCAGGGCCATCTCCACCCTGCTTCATCGATCATCTATATCAAATCACCAGCTGCATTGGCATTATATTATTGTTTTCAGGCAGGGAGGAACCTTAGTTCCACTCACAAGTGAATAACCAAGCGAGATATGCTACCACCTAGAGTTTTTGGAAATACTAAAGGTTCCGAAAGCAAGCAAGTAGGCAAGCTCAACCTCATCTCAGGCACGTTGACTGAGAAAGCCCTGGCCCTCATTGCCACCTAGAACACCAGGGGGACATGGAGCATTATTATTAAATCAAACATACATTACCATCAATATCCTTAATTATGAATAACCCATAGTAAAAAGTAAGAAATATACGCTCCAAGTAAGGTTATAATTAATCAGTAACAGTATGGGAAACACCAGAGAGCAGGACTGGAGGCATCTGGGATGCATGAGCCAGGCTACCCATTTGGTCCAAGGCAGTATGTAGGCTGGTTGATTTACCTCAAGGTTCATCTGCATCAGTTTCATTCCCCTCATTCACTATTTCGGATTTTGTTTAATTTTGTTATTTGGGAAGAAGTGAATGGAATTTGCAGACATCCCAGCCTTTCCAGAGTGGATAAAGCCAACTGAACTACAGGCAAATAAGTCCAGAGGATTTTGCGTTGAGCACCTTTACATTTTTATTCCCACCCCCCAAGGAAACACCCGTAACTTCACCCTTTCTTGAGGGCATGAATCTGGCCAAATTTCAGAAGGATGGCTGCTGTGGTTTTGATACCATGTCAGCCATTACGGTTTGGTTCTCTTTTTACCTACCCCAATCTAGTATTTTGTGAGTAATTGGTCTGAAAATGGGTGCCCCTGGGAAAAAACATTGAGCTAAAGGCAATTAAATCCAGAGGCTTTTATGCTAGGCATCTTTATAGTTTATATTGGTATGGGAAGAACTAAAAGGGATTCACTTTGGGAGTAAATTCATTCCCTCTAATTAAAAGTTTGATCTGTTAGTCGCAACAGAACTCCTCCTCCAGTCTCTTCCCAGTTTAGTGTTCACTGTCTCCCATCTTGGTGTTATTCCATATGGCTTATGAGGGAAGCTTAAAGCCATTACTTTCAGAAGGTGCGTAGCATTTTTGGGAAGTCTGGGTCACTGAGATGCTGCCCCAAGGCACTTTAGGGCTCCCCACTTAGACTTGTGCTACCTCATGCACAACCTGCTTTGCTTGTGACAAGTCAAAACTATTTCCCACGCACCCCACTTCAGCTCAGGATTCAGAATTCATCCAACTCCTATGAACATCCCCAGAAATCTTACCACAAAGAGGGCTTGCTCACTTTGTATGTAGTGAGGCCAGGGTTGCAAGCGGGATTGGTCTCATTGCTCATTTAACTCAAACGTTATTTCCTTCTCCAACACTGTAAACCTTCCATTGGCCAGCAGAAGAAGCAGAAGTCTATATTCTGTTAAAAGATTTTCTCTGCTTTCCCCTCCTTTTCACTGTTCCATCATAAAACCATTAGTACTTTGCAAACTCTTCTAATTATCATTCAGCTCATGATGCCCCCTGTCTTCTAATAACCTGTCCCTGGAGTCCTCCAAACCTATGACTGGTTCTTTCACAGCAGCTTAGCTAGCTATAAGTACTGCATGAACAATTTTGAAATTCAGGCTGGCTTCACTGACCGCCGTCTGAGGAGAACTGGTCCTGAGAGAATTATCTCTTCAAAATAGACCCCATAGATTGACTTCTGTTTATTTGCAGACAGATGGAACAGAGGAGTCTAGTGAGCCATTGCCAGCAGAGCTCTGTGAAGCCCAGGCTGTGCCAAACGAAGTCGATCGTATAGTAACAGACAGGAGAGGAGAGGCCAGTGTGAAAATATAAGGGTAATCTTGTTGACCCTTTCTTTGACTTTTTGAGTTAGGCCTTGGCCATTAATGTGGTGCAGGAAATGAGGTGAGATTAGAGGAGTAATTTCTAAACATTGTGCTATGAAAGAACTGCAAAATGAAACAATTAAAGGCTACACAGGCCCAAAGGATCTCTCTGCAGAGGAAGGAGGCTGCCTGCTGCCTCTCCACAGGATCCATTTTTTCTCGCCTCCTTTCAGCTGCCTTTCACTGGAGTAGAATAAGTCCCCTTTATCCCTGAGTCAGGTGTGTTTAGATCATTCATGCTACAATTCTGTACCCATTTATCCAGGAGTAAGTCCCATTGAACTTAGTGGGATTACTTGTGAGTAGATCATACCCTCCAAGTGTTCTGATTTTCCTGGAGTAGTCATGGAATTACGAAAGCCATCCTGGCTTCTGATTTGATCCCAGAATAATAATTTATAATAATAATTTATTATTTATACCCCGCCCATCTGGCTGGGTTTCCCCAGCCACTCTGGGCGGCTTCCAACCGAATATTAAAAACAATACAGCATAAGACATTAAAAGCTTCCCTAAACAGCCTTCAATTGTCTTTTAAAAGTAAAATAGTTGTTTATTGCCTTGACATTTGGTGGGAGGGCGTTCCACAGGGCGGGCGCCATCACTGAGAAGGCCCTCTGCCTGGTTTCCTGTAGCTTTGCTTCTTGCAGTGAGGGAACCGCCAGAAGGCCCTTGGCGCTGGACCTCAGTCTCCAGGCTGGACGATGGGTGTGTGTGTGTGTGGAGACGCTCCTTCAGGTATACAGGACCGAGGCCGTTTAGGGCTTTAAAGGTCAGCACCAACACTTTGAATTGTGCTTGGAAACGTACTGGGAGCCAATGTAGATCTTTCAGGACTGGTGTTATATGGTCTCGGTGGCTACTCCCAGTCACCAGTCTAGCTGTTGCATTCTGGATTAATTGCAGAGCCACCTTCAAAGGTCCCTGTTTCCCCTATCTGTGCTGCCGGCGGCAAGCTTGGGCAGGTGGATTATCTGGCACTTGTCCTGAGCGGTGGCAGCAGCAGTGGCAGCTGCAAGGGATCCTGTTGCCACTCCATGGCCTCTCTCCATGACTGCACCCTAAAATTATATAACACCTCCTTACGTTATTCAGTCTACATGAGACTAACACTTAACTATGACGTCACTTGCTGAAAGAGTATCTGACACCATGACAGCTAGCAATGTTTTTCACAGATTTGCCTTAAATCATTTGGGGGACCATGTCTTGCTTCTAAGGTAAGAGCCATCCTATCATTTAAGTGAATATTGGGGGGGGGGCTGAAGTAGGGCAAAGCAGGGGTCTGGATCCTGAGGTCACCCATCCTGGTGCACCACTTTGAAAGATGGATGGGGCTGATCACCTGTCAAACATCACCACGACATCAGGTGACCTCCCCCCTCCCCCCCTTGTAGCACTGTCTTCAAGCCCCACCTTCAGCAGGGATTGCTTACTACACTGGACTCTTAGTTGGAAACTGGAGCTTAGGCAATCCAAGCAGGTTTGAAAATCACTGCCGATCACCTGACCTGCACTGACGTCATTTGGTTCACTAGGGAGCTCCAATGAATGCATTCCTAATCATTCCCAAAGAATGATTAGGAATGCATTTTAAGGGCTTCTCCAGACTGGTGTTTTAATGTGACTGTATTCTGCAACGTGTTCTGGACACAGTAATTGTGCATTAGTGATGGATTTAGGTGCAGATGAGGCTTCTCAACCTGGAAAGGGAGCCCATACAGGAAATAAAAGACTCTGGTCCTAAACCTTCGCTGCCTTGCAGGATATCTTTGGGAGAAGAAAAGGCTCAGGAGTAAACCCTACGCAAATCCAGTCCCTAAAATGGTTGGATGGCATCTTTATGCTTCCTTCTGGCAACTCCAGAAGCCTGCTTTCCTTTGGACCATAAATTGAGGCTGAGAGAGAGGTGTTGTTGCCTGGGCAGCCCAGGACCTCCACACACACTGCCCAGGCCTGTGCCTCGGAGAGGTCACTAGTGCTGCCAATGCAGTGAATAGACATCACCCCTGGACAGTGGCAGACCTACATTTTTGAGTCCTGAAGCCTGAACTGTCATGGGGGCCCCTTCACAGCCACCAACGAGGTCCGGGTAACCACTGTTATGATCTTCAGTAGGGTGGTTCCACAACAGATTGCCACACTTTTACGATGTCTGTGCCACTGACTCTCAAACTTTGGGATTGTTGAAATATATGCAACAAAAATATCAATCAATGTAACTCAGGTAAGGTCTACTAGACCCAAAATTGTTAAGCAATGTGAACTAAGTCAACAATTGTTGTTGTTTAGTCGTTTAGTCGTGTCCAACTCTTCGTGAGCCCAGTTAATAAACAATAACTTTGCTTATTACCCTGCTCTTATTTGCTCTCAGAAAATATTCATAATTTCCTAAGCTTTGGTGAACTGAAAATAATTTTCTTATTTCTGCTAGTAGTATTTGTTTGTTGCATAATTCTGAGTCACTAGGGAAACCCAGCTGGATGGGCGGGGGTATAAATAATAATAAGTTGTAGTTGTTGTTGTTGTTTTACAATAAAATTAAATTCAGTGTATATTAAGTCACACATTTGTGACTCTCCAATAGTAGAAGCCTTGGAAATTTAGATATATTTAGATCATCTAACTAGCTTGGATTATTTTCAAACACACAAGTTTTCCATGAAGTGAACATTCACCAAGAGACTAATTGCCACCATCCCATCTATTTTCAGAATGCTTGTGCTAATTGACGGGCAGACTTAAAAGCTGAATATTTCTTCTACTGGATAGGACAAAATGTAGGCTCTTTGCAGCCCACCTCACAAAAGACCTTTCATTTGGTAGCATCAGTAGCAAAATGCTTTTCCTATTTAAAGATGATAAATTTTTCTGATTCAATT